CATATCTATATTTTTTCTATAAAGTTTCTTATATCGTTAAAATACACGTCTTATTTTTCTTTTATTTTTTTTAAATGCCGCCTAGTATTCAAATAGCCCACGTTCAATATATCAAAATTCCAGCATGACCTCTAGGCTTTCTGGTCATTTTTCTATTTTTGGTTTGGTTTTCTTTGTGCTCAAGTCTCTTTTGGGAATTTTAACCCTAAAGCCTCGGATTCATGTTAGAATTCAGTTCATATATAGAACATCGGCTATCGGCGGTGGGGGAAAATCGCTACTCCTCATAAGTTCGTTGGCTTCTCGGAGATTTCCCGCGACAGTCACTCCCTCCCAGCTGCATACAAATTTTAATTTAATGTTATTTATCTATTGATTGTGTTTTTTATTCTTATTGTTGTAATTTATTTTGTTTGGCAAAAATAAAATGAAATAAATAATAATGATACTAAATTCTGTCTTTTAGGCTGTTGATCTCCCGAACCTTTTAAGAAGTTCCCTTTTCAACAGGATATAAAAGGCTTTTTAGCTAGGTAAAAATGCACATAAAAGAAGGTTGCAATAAAACGTAGTCTGTGGTGAGACACGAGGAGCCGCAAGGAGTAAAATTTCTGTCCCGTAATTTAATCAGTTAAATCATCAAAGTTGACAGGTCTTTCTGATGATCAAAGCGACCGTTCGGTTTACCATTTACACCTTCAGTGCGAAGACTGTCACGGGAACATTAACACCTTTAGGATAATTGCTTGCCATAACAGTGGTAGGTCGCGCGCGTCTGGTCGGTTTCGAAGAACGTGATCGTGACTGTTGTTTTCATTCAGTGACTGTACGCATTGATATGCCAACGTTTAAAACAGACTGCAACATTAAATTTTTGTTATAAAAGCAAAGAAGCTGCCGAGTAGAAACTAAACCGTTCCAGACTTATTCCGTTTCATTCGTGTACTTTCATTTTGATGGGGTCTGTATGATGAATTTACTTCTGCCTTCTAATCCGGCACGTAAACAACATAGAGATAAAACATTCATTTTGCCTTTGTGGAGTAAATTCAACTTAAAAAAGTTAAACTAGTGGACCACTTTCTCCGCGTACTTGTAAAAATAGGCATTTAATATGTCGCGCTACAGTGCGAAAATGTTCTTGTCGTGGATTAGATTTCAGTATACCTATTGTTAATCTTCATTTCGCGCCAGAATAAATTAGTTTGCGCGCAAAGGGCGTCTAAAAAAATTCACAAGGTTTGTCTCACTTCGAGTCCACCTTCTGGAGATACGCCGGCATGGTAGCTGGAATACATTGCCAAGGCGAAGATCTGGCATTTTTTCCTCCTCGTCTTTTTTTCCCCGCAACGTTTGTTTATATTTGTAGTGAGAATGCCTTGCATATCGGTGGATTTTACTTCAGTCAAGCGGCTTCAGTTCCTGCGGCTTGCTACTCATCATAAAGAAGAGTGCCGGAATCGCTTTGTTCTCCTTTAACAGATTTGTTGTCGAATGCAAGGTAAAAGAACGGACTACTGTAAGGTAAGAATTGAAGTTTAAATTTGTTTCTCGGCGAAAAATAGTGCATACAACTCGTGAAACCGGTGAGTATTACCTCTGTTTAATATACCGGATGTCATGCGATGACCCCTCGCTTTTACGATGGATAAGACGGATACGAACAATAATTTCTTTCGCAACGTTTAGTATAATTTATTTAATATGGAGATCATCTGAGAACGATTTTTCGTTATATATGATTCATTTCTTGGCTTATTCCGGCTACGTGCGAAAAATTAGATGACAATGTTTGTGTGCTATAATTATACTGATAATTTCTTGCACCTTGGAACTCATGAAAGCCAAACTTGTTTAACCCTAGCAAAAAACTCTTTTAATGGAGGAACTCAACCTGATAGTTGCACTAAAATCTAATAATTGTCACTGCATTTGCAGGCTCTCTGTAACCTCGTGGGTAGAACATACCTGACGGTTACGTTAATAATAATCACTGCATTTGCTCTCTGTAACCTCGTGGGTAGAACATACCTGAAGGTTACGATAATAATAATCTTTGCATTTTCTCTTTGTAACCTCGTGGGTAGAATATACCTGACGGTTACATTTAATAATAATCACTGCATTTGCTCTCTGTAACCTCGTGGGTAGAACATACCTGAAGGTTACGTAAATAATAATCATTGCACTTTCTCTTTGTAACCTCGTGGGTAGAACATACCTGATGGTTACATTAATAATATCACTGCATTTGCTCTCCGTAACCTCGTGGGTAGAATATACCTGACGGTTACATTTAATAATAATCACTGCATTTTCTCTCTGTAACCTCGTGGGTAGAACATACCTGACGGTTACGTTAATAATAATCACTGCATTTGCTCTCTGTAACCTCGTGGGTAGAACATACCTGAAGGTTACGATAATAATAATCATTGCATTTTCTCTTTGTAACCTCGTGGGTAGAATATACCTGACGGTTACATTTAATAATAATCACTACATTTGCTCTCTGTAACCTCGTGGGTAGAACATACCTGAAGGTTACGTTAATAATAATCATTGCATTTCTCTTTGTAACCTCGTGGGTAGAATATACCCGATTACTACATTAATAATAATCACTGCATTTGCTGTCCGTAAACTCGTGGGTAGAGTATACCTGATGGTTACATTAATAATAATCATTGCATTTTCTCTTTGTAACCTCGTGGGAAAAAAATTAATGCCTCTCTCCTGGAAATTTTGCCCTGTCCGTTGAGCATAGTGATCTTTGGGTAGCGAATTCACGTAAACGAGTAAAACGCTTTTTTTTAACAACAGCATTTATATTACTTGGCTTTTTGAGGGAGGTTAAACATTAATGGAATAGAATATAAAAAAAGCTCATAAAGCGGAAAAAGTTATCTTTACAAAATGCGCTTTGACAATGTCAAGGAGTGAAATAAGCTGAGGTTTTGTAGTTAGCCCGAAGAAAACATGTTCCTGCATGAAAAGCAGTTCTGATTCCCTTCTCTAAACTAGAAGAGATGCATATCCCTGTGAACCAGTTTTTTAACCAGGAGCGATTCCCGCTCACTTCTGATACTTTATTGACACGAGTTCCTATTTCAATATATGTCTAATTCAAGCTTAGCCGCGTGATAGCTCTTCATTAGCGAAAAGGTCCAAGTGATATTTTGATTGACGTGTTGTTTTGGATCCTGAGGTTTTTTAACACCTTTTCTCTAGCTTAACTGGCGAAGATATTCTAGGAATTTGCCCTTCAATTCCAAATTCTTTGATGTGCCGCCAGATGCCGTGCAAAAATATCACCCCTTGCGGCTCCTCGTGAAGAACTGTACTCATTATCAAAAATAAAATAAAGGTCAGGAACAAAAACACGTTTTGCTTGGAATGTCTATTCATTTATTTACTTATTTAGCTATACGTGATCATGCCCGGTGGTCGCTTACCGGAAACAGAAAACAAAAGAATATGTCAAATTTCTGGCCCAAAAAGTGGTCGCGGTCGTTTAAGAAATTTACGAAGTGGTCGCTTAAGAGAGAGTTTTTGAAACAGTGTTTGCCTGAGAAACAAAACGATTATTTGTAAAGTGGTCTCTTACGAGAGGTGGTCGCTTACGAGAAGTGGTCGCTATGAGAGAATTGACTGTATTTTTTTTTTGTCTGCAGGCTTGGAAAAGGACATCAAATATAGCCAAGATCAGTCGAGCATGATGCTACTTTTCGAGCATAATTTTAGGCATAATGCTGTTGTTTCATTTGTCGTTTTGAGGGTGACGCTGTAAAGCATAATGCTCAAATTTTCCAGCATAATGTATTAATTAACAATTAGTAAATGAGGCTGAGTATCTTATGAAGAATTATAGAGACTGAGGAGGGTATTATCCGTTGACGCCGTGGGCCGAGGCGGATAACACCCTCTATCTCCATAATTCTTCATATGATATGAATGCCGAATTTAATAATTGTTTTATTATTCATTCAAAATAATTCCTAGTTTAAAAACATACAGTAGCTAAAACACGCTTACCTCCATTGATACTTTCTTGGTTAGCTTCAGCGTTGCAGTTATAACCACATGTAACACCGACACGAAAAATAAATGCTAGTGACCAGGTTTTGGACAGAATGAAATGGAACAGCAAACACCCATTATCCCCTCCTCCGCCTCGCACCCCCCCCCCCCCCAAAAAATCAAGGATGAAACCGCGCAAAAGCCAAAATGCGCCAATTTCCCATCCTTGGTCATTCTCGACCACAGTGCTTACGGGTTTGGCAGAAGAGCTCTGGGTCGAGAGTGATCCTTGATTTGGGGGTCAAGGGGGTACAAATTTTCCATCTATTTTGTCCAAGGTTGCAATCTTGGAACCCACATTCCCCCAATTCAAGGATGAAACCGCGCAAAAGCCAAAACGCGCCAATTTCCCATCATAGGGGAGGGGGGGGGGTACAAATATTCCATCTATTTTGTCCAAGCCGTTGTAGTAAGCTAAAGGCGCGAGGGGAGGATCTGGGGAATAAGGGTCTCCTTTAAAATTGTCCTATTATTTAAGCCCCATGCTAACGGGTTTTTTGAATGAATCGGCTTGCCCAACGGTTAGACCTTTCCGAAGGAGAAATCAGAAATGCCTGACTCTGATGGGATAAGACAAAACGACCAGCTCAAGTACGAGGCTCCTCTGCCCTCCCATCACTCATAGGCGGAATTGCCGACATGCCCCAAATTTACCCCCTTCTCTCCCTCCGAGGGAGAGTAGCGATGACCGGAAATACGTCTGCTGTATCTTCGTCGCATTTCAAAACAAACGTAAAGGTTACCCCACAACTTGTGTTCGCGAAAAGAACTTAAATGGAATCGAGCAAAAACGTTTTTATATCAAAGGAAAAGGGTACTGTGTATTTTTAGGCCGACACATGACGAAACATTCCACGTGAGACAAAGAAGGGCAGAAGGGGCAAAGTCCTACAGCTGCATCCTGTCTTTTTAAATGTCACATAACATTCACAGACGCAATGAGTTGCGATGGAGTGGAAGGAAGTCACTTCGTTCTTTGTCGTCTTTCTGTGCCGTTTTATACTATTTCTCTTCATAATAGTCCTATCCTTGGTCATTCTTGGTATTCCAAACGTTAACACATGCTTTTTAACGGTGAGTATGTTAAAATCATTTCTTCTTCAAAGAGCTGTATGTAGCGGGTTCATCGTATGAAAGTGGTTATAATGCAGATACCCAAGCCCGCGATTCGTCAGTAGTCATTTGGGATTTCAGCTCAACTACGAGACCATCGAAAACCGAACACGTTTCACGGCATAATAAAGCAGTCTGATATTCGTAACTTTTGAATAATCCATGGATCCAAGTCTTATTAAGAGCCATTTTTTGTGTCGTCACGCAACGTTCTTCCCGCGTGACGACGCAAAGAACTGCTAGAAGGCAAAAGAGTAGAGATAGCCTGCGTTCAGTTGCCCCCTCCCCTCTGGAAAAAACGAGCATCTGAGCATCCGGAGTCCATAACGACGAAAGGTCACGCAATGTCTACAATCATTTATTTATTTATTTATTTTAGAGTTAAAATCTACTAACATATCCTTTCTACCACGACTACCTCTCCACGTCGGCCCGGGAGATAGTTCCTACCAGCGGGGTAAGGGGTACCCCAGTGGTTCATACGTTTTTTTGTCGTTGCAACCTCTCTACAACGTATCGGCCATCCTTCCCCTACAAAAAAGAACAGTATTAAAGAAAAAAACGTGTCCAGGCAGATGAAGATAGAACGGCCATTTACTGAATAAGAAGTGCTCGCTATGTTTTGTAAACATTTTTAGTTATTCTTGTTTCATTGATTTGATAAACAGTAAAAACCAGCGTATAAGAACGTAAGTTTTTCCAATCTAGGTTAAGAGAGTTCTTATAAAAATGGTGCTAACTGGAAAATTAGGCTACTCAGGTTCTTAAACAGGTTCTTGTTTTGGGTGTGGCCTATTTTGGGACTATTTTTTTGTATTCCATGCATAATATGTTATAAAACTCCCTTTAATCCAAGCATGTTAAAGCCATTAATGAAGTTTATATAAAGCTACGCAAGTTAAACAGAACAAAAACAACATATGCATAAAAACATGGTACTTTGTTGCTGCGTGGCCAAACATGGTACTTTTCAAAATAACAACCTGTTTAAAAATTGTTGGCTAAAACAGGTTCTTATGTAAAAGGGGTCTAAATGGACAATCTTAGCCTAACAGGTTCTTCTAGGTTCCTTTACGGGGGTTTTTACTGTATTTTTTCCTTTTACCATGGGCATTTTTGTGATGAAACATTTTCGTCATACTGCACCATCTCAAACTGGCCACTTCTCTTCCGAAGGCGGCCGCTGTGGTTATGATGTTTATGAACATACTTGTGTGTGTGTCTTGCCTTGGATTTCAGGTGTTCATGGCTTTCATCATTCCTTTACCGCCAAACTCAATTTTAGTTGATCCAATTCATTGCATGTTGTCGAAATTCAGCCAGGCTTTGAGGTTAGTAAAGTTAACTTCGATTTACGAATATTGTCCTCAACGCTAGCCATTTGTTTTACTATATACACGGTTTGACAGAACGGTGAAATAATAGTGAATTTTGTGGTAAAAGCAGCAAACTTCGTACAGTTTATGGCATGGGGAAAAAACTGTTTATAGACCTCGATGAGAACAGATTCATTTTCAACTACCATGATATTTCAGCGTGGAAACGAGGTCGACGCAAAATACTCGTAATAACATCTATCTATATCGTCTTTTCAATATCGTAAAAGCACTCATCTTGGTGCTGACTTAGCAGTGATAAACGAAAAGCATTAAAACAGTGCAAGCAAACACTGTCACGTAGTCATGCAGTAATCGTGATGCTTTTTAAGACCTTAAGTTTATACATTTGAGGGTTTTCTAGTTCTCTATTGTAGCGAATCCACGAGATTCAAGAATCCACGCTCTGCTTCTATGACAACTGTGACTTACAGTTTGTTCAATCAACAGAGCTTACACAGCGTATGCAGTAGTGTTGACCGAAGTACAAAGGGTAACTTTCATCACCATACCCCATTATTTATTGAGTGGCCGGCTGGAATCTATTCTACGTTACTTTGTCAATCATATCAGGTAAGTTTTTTAACTCGCCTCTTAAAATCCTAGATGAACATCTATCAATTATCTCCACCGAGAGACTGTTTACAGTCCTCCTCTATTTTCCCGGGGAGGCGCTCCAAAACAGAATAAACCGGCCACTAAAAAATGTACAGCTATTGAAGTGGAGAGGTTCTAAATGACAACTTGAGCTTTAAAATGCATGCTATGATAAGCTTTTGGAAATTCCACTCGTTTGACAGCGGGGGAAAGTGGAGAAACCTTTTTTTGCTGCTCCCCATTCCCCTCACGACCTCGCCTTCTGCGATCTTGCTCTCCCCATATCTCTCAGATCTTAACATGGTCTTAAAAAGTTTTGACACGTAATAGCATGTTCAGGAAAATCTTAACATCCGTTTAATGTGAAGGCCATTAAACACCCTTCTTCTGCATTATTCAGCGTCCTCTTTCTGATATAAAACAAAGGTTTGTTCCCTCGTTTATTTTTGTTTTTAAGATTTACAATACCTCAGATGGCTTCCAAAGTTACCGCGACTTTGGTTGCTCTGATGTTACCATGTCTACGGCTTTTGGGTAAAATTGTCAGAATGATCCTCGCAGGATTGTGGTATGTATGCTACATAAAACTTAACTTGCCGCCTAGGCGAGCGCACGCGAGAAAAACGCGGGGCTACGTGAGACCAGACATGAGGTAAACTCTTCCACGGTTTTTCTTTCGTGGTGGCGTTCTCAAACTTCCGTGGTTTTTCCTTTACTTACCTGTTTAATTAGAGTCAAAGTTAATAAACAGAGAGTTTTTTTACACACAGCAAGAGAGTGGTAGAACCTGGTTATACTATTCAATAACGCTGCAAAAACATTTAAGGCCTCTTGCAAGGTTTGAGATTATCAATAGTCGTTTTTCGAACGCTAAAAGTGTTATTGTTACCACTCTTTCTTTTTAACTCCATGCAGCTTTCTTGCAAATGTTATGGTACGAGTTCTGGCGAATTTAGCGTGGACGTCATGGTCGCTTTTCAAAATGGTTTCATTGAGGATGATTCTTTTTCTAAGGTAAACATCATTTTACAGTTGACTCTCAAAGGTAATAAATCTAGATTGGATAAAGGATCAATCTTTTGAAACTTCATTCTGATTGCTTTAAGGTAACTTTGAGGAGCGAGACTTTTAACCATCCGGGTTTAATTAAAATCTTCAATGATACCAACAAGCAATTATAGTGTATCAATAAATTATCGATAGCATATCGGATCTTCCAAGGTTTACGGCGCAAAAATATTTACTGTATTCTCTGTTCCCTTTATAATGTATATATTTGACTGGTATTGGCTTCCTGTAGAGACCATATGGGCTGGACTCAGGAGCCAGGCAGCCAGTTGATGTTTAGCATTAAGTCAATTACAGGTCGGCTAATTGGCCCAAACTCACATAAAAAGTACAGACACATACAAAGGGAGAGAAAATGGTAAAATAGGACACAAGAAAATTGTATAACGACCAGAACTTATAACTTACTGCATTGACTCGAAATATTAACTTAAACTTTACCAACCACATTTTTTTAACCCCCGCCACCCCCTCCCAATTTGAGGTTCCTCCGGCGTGATTATCAGCTATATTGATATTATCCTCCACTTTAGCTTTATTTCAAGGCTTATGATGCGAGTGTTAGCACATCTTCGAGTATGGACAACTTGGTTGATGTACAGACTGTTTCCCGTGAGGTTGATTCGCTTTCTAAGGTAAAGTATAAAATACTAGTCATCAGCTTCAACTTAAAAAAGATAGGCACATACCATTAATTTGCCCCCATTTTTTGGGGGGGGGGGGGGGGGGGAAGAAAGAGACGGGTGACATTTCAGCCTAACCATTAATTCTTCTTAATTTTTCTCTCAAAACAGCTGATATTTTTCTTACTTTCTTCAAAGAGCGATTGTCTTTCTTGTTAGGCATTTTAAAATAGTTTGTATAGCAGTTTTGCCCCAAATATGTGCCGCCCTCAAAAAATCTGAGAACCTAAACCTTAAATTAAGCCATGTTTCTGAAGGGCTTTCCCCAGTACAATGCAAACGCGGATTTAATCGCGCTTTTTAAGTCGCGAGGCCCAAAAGCGCCGGCGTAAAGTTTTCGCGCAGAGCGTGGGATTAGCCGCAGCTCTCCCCATTATTATCCTCACTTTTACACTCGCTCCGTACGGCTGCTCTTTTGCAGTCTATCCTTCCAGTTTTTTCTGTTCGTCTTTTTTCTGGTAGGAAAGCTTCTGGCATGTTTTTCGTCTTTGGCATTGCGGCTCTGTGTGCCCCTGGCCTCGAACCACTACCAAACCTGCTGCTAACTGGACATCTGTACCCCGGCTCTCTTATCAGGTAAAACAAATGAACGTGATGCCTACCTGTGTTACGGTAATCTCTGTCGAGTCTTTTTGCACATAGGATAAGTGACAACATCAAGCCCAGCACCAGAACCTTCCAGTGGAAAAGAAAAGACATCAAGGGCTACATGGCCAAAGCGGAAAATACCATGATATTGAAACTGTTTCCCGCCAAAATCTCTGAGCGGAGTGAGCTGGCAACATTACAAAATCTATGACGTCAGAGGGTAACAGTACACTGTTACCCGCGAATGTTGACCGACGACCGCCGTTACCAGCACAGCAGGGTTTAGTGAATTTACTTGCGTTTTTTGCAAGAAACGAAAGTGTATGACCTCTCGGGGCATGAACGCGTAAGACAGCGTTCTGATGATAGCAAAGCATTGAAATACTACGCTCAATGCCCAGGGGTGATGCAAGGGTCCCAAGAGAAAAAACGTGCTACTTTATGGGACCCGTGCGACCATTTCGGAGCAAACATACCAATGAAAATAGTTTTAAAAAATTGTCATTGTTCAATGTTACGTCAAGCATTTTGCCTTTAAGAGTGCACTTCTTATGTTCCTTTACTTTTTTTTAAGGTTTCAACGCTGCGCAAAGTACGAAGACAGCACTGCTTGTCACTCATCGTTCTTGGAATTTTCCTACACCGTCTGGAATTTGACAAGAACTGGTCTTTTTGTCGTTATGTGTTGGACTCTAGACTGTCACGCTTGGATTCCACCACGGCGTGACTTCACAAGTATCGTTGAAAGATGCCTGGCGTTACACAACAAGACGTACTCACAGCTTTTGCTCTGTGCGACGGGCCTTCCATTGTTAATGAATGGACATTGTCTGTCACAGACGGTCCACAATATACTCTGCACTGCAAGCCTGTTACTTTTCATGGTCACCTTGAACGGGTATCACAGCCGTACCGCGCTTATGACGTATTGCGCGTTATGTTGCGTAGCAATGAACGTTCAGAGCCTCTTGGTTGCAGTTTTCAATATCTATAGGAACTTACAGACTCAAAAGAACGGCTACATGGCAACCCTGTTGTATATTATGCAACTTTATTTGATGTTTTTGGTCATAATGGACAGTTGCACTCGGGTGATGAGCAAAGTGAAGAACCCGAAACAAGATATCTTGGGAGAAGACGGCTAATATTACAAGAAAATTTTATCATGAGGACCGCCGGTTGACCGGTCCACTTTTCAAGTGGGATCTGTCGTGAATGTGAAGATTGTACCCAGTCGTCTCATATCACTTGTACGCGGTAGCAGACTAGTACAGTCACGTGAAGAATGAGACGACGGGAAGGAAGCAAATGAGAGGAGACTAGTTTTCTTCTTCCTCTGTCCAATCTTCCCTCGCACGTTTTTTATTAGCGCTTCCCTCCTGAATATAATAGAGAGAAGTGTGACGTCACATCACCAAGGAAGCAAAATTTCTGGATCTCAACAATCTTTCTTTGCAGAGACGGCCATCTGCATTGTCGAACGATGGAAGAAAAGTATGGGCTACCGTTTTGTTCCTAAGTGCAATCGTGCACAGGAAAGTCATCCACGTCATTTTTTTTTGTTTCGTTTTCTCTGACATACTTGCAAGACCACTGTTTGCTGATATCCAAAAATTTTGCTACCATGGTAATGTGACGTAACAACTTGTCCTCTAAAAAAAGAGACAAGAGAGAGGATTGGGGACGAGTCAGAGCTTCCAAAGCAACAGGACGGTCTGTAAGAACATCAAAAGACGAATGATTTTATTTGATATTTTATCGTTACACAAGGTGGAAAATAAACGGCTTTTTATCAGGTCACAAGCTTGATAAACGTACGGCTTTACCTTCAGCAACTCTTGCACATTACCATGGCCTGAGAAAACAGCCGACATTTCGCGAGGCCACCACTGGTTTGCCCGTGAAATGACGTCTGAGAAACGAGCGCAGAAATTTCATACTGATGACGCGTCACTTCCCAGATCTAGGTAGTGCTTCTGATTGGTTGGAAAAAATTCCCTTCTATACGTGGCACGACCAATCAAAAGCACAACCCAGATCTCGGTAGTGACGCGTCATCATTATGAAATTTCTGCGCTGGTTTCTCAGATGTCATTTCGCGGGAAAAACCAGTGGTGGCGCCGGGGAATGTCGGCTGTTTTCCCAGGTGGCAGATACAAAACTCAGGTCACAGGTAAGGAGCGCAATTCACTTGCTCTATTGATAAATAGCTGTTTCCCCTTTAGCTAAAACTCTATTCTGGATCGTGATAAGGGGACACTTTTAGCACGGTGACCTGTACTCTAACCTGAACTTGTGACCCGCGTTTTTGTACCTGCCATTTTCTCAGGTTAATTTACCAAGGTCGGTAGTGTTTCAAGTACAGTAAAAACCCGCGACTAAGAACCTGCATTTTCCCAAGTTAGCCTAAACAGGTTCTTACATAAATGGTAATTAGCACAAATTTGGGCCATTTAGGTTCTTAAATAGGTTCTTATTTTCTAAAGAAAAAGATACATTGAAGTTAAGAGCATTTACTGGTATGCACCCTATTCCCTCATTACAGTTGGAGTGATAAGTCTCCTATGTCTTCAAAGAGGATCCTGAATGTTGACTTATCTTATTTGCCCAATTGAAAAGAATTTTCTTTATAAAATTTAGAAAATAAGAACCTGTTTCATATTTTAGGCTGAACAGGTTCTTATATAGAGGGGGCCCAACTCGCAAATTTTAGCCTAACAGGTTCTTAAAAACCAGGTTCTTAGTCGCGGGTTTTTACTGTAGACGTGCTGAATTTCTGGGTAATAATATCAAAGAGATCGTCTTCGTGTAGTCAAACAAGTTATCCCATGCAAATTGATTAGTGATGATTTGGCTGAAGAGAAATTACGTCTTTGATGTAAACTATGACGCACAAGTCCTTTTTGGGTTAATTAGGTCACAGCACAGCACCCTATTAAAGATCATACACTGCGTAGTCCCTCAGAATGAGTATTAAAAAAATCGACTAAATAAAAGGAACCTTCAATTAATAGCTTTTTAGTTGCCATCAAGTAAGATTTCATTATAACTGTCTACCCGTTTTGTACAAATTGGTTTTTAGCGCAAGGCATTGAAAAAGGCGAAGATCGCTTGATTCAATTTCTTGTTTATTATCCTGGTTCAATTGTACAAAGTAACGTTTCCGTAATATTTGCAATTTACTATAGATGATTTTATATTGCAATAAATAAGCGTCATGCTAAACTTACTACTCTTTGCTCCTTTGAGGAATTCGCACTCTAAAAATATCACATTGTAGTGACAATAATAACAAGAACGAAGAAAGTTGGTGATTGACCAAGCCAGCAAAATACACAGTCTTCTTTGCTATGAGCAAAATTAAAGCCTTCCTGGCGTGCAATTTAGAAATTGGAAATAGACTTTAAGTACGCGACAGCTTGTGCCCACATACACGCCGCGGCGTGTGTGACATGCGCAATACAACGGCAGCTCCTCGTAGAAGACAGACCCACGGTGGTGTACCATTCATGCGCTAGGAAATACATTTTGAGCTCGTCGCTTTAAATAATAATCAGGAAGTACGACATGACGCTAAACAACATTTCTATGTAGCTATAAGCGCGGCCTTTGGTTTGCTAACCTTTTGATAATCTATTAAACAGCAATGCTTTCAAATAATGGGTCAACCCTCTACAAAAACTTAACTATTAAGTAACACTTTCTACAATTTGTGCGCCCCCCACCCCCCTTATATCAAGCTAATTTTTCATTTACATAAACAGAGCCAAAACACAGGATCTAAATTGCGTGTTTGGAACGATTTGGAAAGACCGATTTGCAGGTTACAACTTTCTCACACGAGATGCACTAACGATAAAACAAAGCACGACCTCAATCACATAAGATAAAACCTACGGCAATTTAAAGTCAAATGTCGGGTAAATTTTGTACGCTCCGATTCGTTGCGTAAGCCTTATTGCAAGGATATCGCCTGCGATAAAGTTGTACCGGGTGTAAATCGGCTGCTAATGATTGTTAAACTTGTATAGGAATGTTTCATTACGCACCCATACAGCTAGGCCATAACTGAAGTTCATTCCATCTCTCGGTGTTGCATGCAGCTGTGATCGTCAAGGTCGACCGACGAAATTTCCCGTACGTACGTAGGCTTGGGTGACGATATAACCCCTAAGCCCGTCCCCACGGGCAATTTCTACTCTTCCCAGTTTACGCTCACCATAACAATTCAGGATGGCAGCCTATCATACTAGACGATTGACCACGACAATTCACCGAAAATAGGGAACTTTGAACAGTCTACCTCGTGTTTGACATAGTATGTGTTCGATTGGAGAATCTGGATTTAGATCTTGAAATCCGGATTTCGGATTTTGCAATCGAAAGCGATATCCGAAAACGGGTTTCAGCTTCGACAAATCCGTCCTCAAGATGGATTTCAGTTAAGAAATCCAACCGAGATTTGCATCTCAACCGTTTGATTGGGAAATCCAAAAAAGGATTTGGAGAAAAGTTCTCATGAGTGGTCTTTTTTATGCTAATTGTGCGTGAACGTGCGAGACCGCTGATCTTAACAACAGCAGTTTAAATCATTTTCCGGATTTCTCCACCGAAAAAAGAAAGAAATTAAATTTCATGGACAGAGTTATTACCGTTGAAATCCGTTCTCATGTTTCGCGTTTGAATACAAATCCGAAATCCAGACTGTAAAATCTTAATCCGATTTCCCAATCGAGTGCACCCATGTTAATCTTTTTAATCCTACGCTAACTACCGAACATCAGAATTTCAAACAACAAAAACTCAAATTTCATTTGCTAAAATAACACAACTAGCCCCACACGAAAGGGTCACCTGAACGGTCATTTCGTTGGATTTCCGCCAGACTCAATAGTTTAAAGGATATATTACGTATCTTCATTAAGCACTAAACGACTGCTAACAAAGGAACAAAGCTAACTGTTTCCCAAGCCGGAAGGCTTTAGGCATTACAGTTTTGTTATCCCTCCGGACTAAATGAATAAAACAAATAATAAATTTGTTTTTCGGTCATGAAAGCAAAAACAGTTATTTGCATGGCGCGACTGGCACATACATTTTCCGCGGTTTTAAAGTGCGTATCCTGATCACGTGCGGGCCTTATATTCCCTAGGGACACATGGTTGGTGAGCTTTGTTCGCTGCTTCGCAAAAATGACACGTGACATGTTCTTGTCCAACCGGAATACGCTTTTGTGTCGGCAAGTGTTACAAATTTGACTGTAGCAAGGAGAGGGTTAAATGTTATTTGTCATGAGGACAGTATCAACAACGTCTGCTGTTGGTGGCCTACTTTTCTGGTGCACGAGTTGAAGTCATCTGACCCTAAATGGTCCTGCGTCATGGGAACACTTCAGCCCAAGATATGGAAATAATACTGAAACTATTCTTGCTATATACTCATCTTTCTTTTTTTTTTGGACAAAATAATTCAGTTACGTAAGATACGTATTTGGATTAGGCGACTGCTAAAGAAAAAGGTATCATTTTTTTCCCAACAACAGTCTTTTACGGAATCCTCACACCTTAAAACTTTCGTGTTAATGCTCGCTTTTAACGAAGTTGCCCTGGTAATGGACCCCTTTAGCTTGTATGTTAAGTGTTCCAAAAGCAAATCAAGTGATGTATTTTTTCATAAATTGTGTCCTTCAAATACACGTGAAGAAAACGAAATTTGAAGAAGATAAAAAGCAAGAAAAGACAAAAGACAAAAAAGGAAGGAAAGGGAAAAGACTGTTTTCTTGAGTAATATCACATGGATGGAGCGCATTAGGAAAGCTAAACATAGCAGCTAAAGAGGGCTATTACCCATTTCGCACATGAGCCCAGGTTGATGTTTTATCGAATTGCAACATTACGATTTTGTTTTTGAGAACACTATTCCTCCTTCTATTGGCTATTACGACGAGTTTGCGTAGGAAAGTACGTCAGATTTTGCCTCAGTAATAGTCCCAAGATGCAATTCGACACAACAGCGACCCAGTCTCCATGCAGTACCTAAAAATGACAAATAGGCCACTTCCGAGTCTCACTTCCAAAACGAGGCTAAGTGCAAAACCTTTCTAGTGAAAATGAGTTTTATTTCAACGGGAATAGAAAATCATTTTCATGTCAATCTCGCCGCACTTAGCCTCGCTGTGAAGCAGAGGCTTGGGACAAGTCAAAATAACCTGTTAGCGTAACAAGCCAGGTAACAATTAAGGAGTCGTACATGAACTGTACAATGTGAGTATTCTTCGCTGTCATACTTCAGTGTCCCCAACGTACTCTCTAGAGAGAAAAACAGACAGGATCACATTAGCTCACCACCTACACCGTCTACGCTCGCAGAAACATTGAGATGGCTGCCTGGGTAATCTGAAACAAGATAGACTTTGCAATGGTTTATGAAATGAAATTTGGTCAGTTTTTACTTCATATTCAGAATTCAGTTCTTGTTATCGCTTTTTATTATTATTGAAAGCTAGCCTGCGAAAACAGCCGTTTCTCCTCGCTCTTCGCCGCTGGGGACGTTTCGCGCGGAGGAACGTCTGCGACTCGGCGAAAGAAATTCCATAATGATGACGTACATCAATGTTTACATAATATATCTGGTAGTCATGGGTTCCACATCCAAATTTGTTCAATTTCACGTTCTCCTGGTCGATTTTACTAAAGTGTTGTTTTCATCTGCGAAAGAGCTCCAGCAAACCTCAAATGCTTCTTCTAAAGAAGAATATATTCCACCAATTTTGACTGTTTTGTTGGAGCTTCATCGCGTTTACATTCGACCTTCGTGGCCTTTTGTCTTTTGTCAATCATTCGTAAACAAAAGCTAAAACAGTGTAAATACTCCGTCGACCAATCAGCGCTTCTGACCGGATTCCGGACAGATTTTACGTCACCAGAATGGAATTTCTGTCGCTGAGTCGCAGACGTTATTCCTCGTGAAACGTCCTCACCGGCGAAGAGCGAGGAGAAACGGCTGTTTTCGCAGGCTAATTGAAAGCTTGCGATGAAATCGATCAAACTTTTAGCTGATATCACTTTCAAAAATCCGTTAAAACGAGTTTTTGCTATTCCTCTTACTTCTGCAACAGTTGAGAGAAAAAGAGCCGTGTTCAGAGTCAGTTAAAGCAGATAAGTTTCTCTTATGCACATGAAACAACTACTCAGGAACTGATAGCTACAAAAAACTAACGCTATTCTTCATCTCAATTAGCACTTTTCTCAGCTGGTCAAACTTAAGCATAGTTATATTTTATTTCATTTTACTTTTTAAAGTCCTTTGTTTTAGATAAAAAGTTTAATTGTTATCTTTTAAGAACATAAAAAAAAACGAATGTTTATTAACTCATTTACAAGACATGCTTTGAAGTTTAGTATATTATAGCCTGCAGAGGTTGACAAAAGCCCTGCGTTGCGAGGTTTGAAATCAACGTAGCCAACGCCTTTCACGCATAGGCCTTTCTTGATGGTGATGGAAAGATCCTTAAAAAGTGCGGGAAAAAAATGCCAAAAAAAAAGGCTAAGAACGTGCTCGAAATAGTTTTAAAATAGTGTCCAAAAACGTTAAAAGATGAACAAAAGCTGAAAAAATGCAGCTAGGAATTTTTTCAAAATGTATTATTTTAAATTTTTTGGTGAGGTATTGACGGTATTTATTTTGCCTAACGCCAAGTTCAACTCATGTTGTTCCCAAATGACCTTCCATAAAAAAAGAAAAGACCACGGAGTGGCGTAATCAATCATAATCAGCACACAGTTTTAGCTACAAAAGTTTCACAGTAAACAGTGTTTGCTCAGATGTTGCCCCGAATGCGAAAAAGTGTTCAAGCGTGTACAAAATGCAAAATAGGACTCTAAAGTGGAAAAAAATTTCTTACGTTGCTCAGAGCAATTGGGACGTAACCAAATTTTCCTCTGTTTTAAACACGTGTCAAATTTGACCTGTACTAACAAAATGAGTTTGAGCAAT